TAACTTATCATAAAGAAAAGCACTTTGAATACTAAAATATTCTAAATATGAAAGTTGTAAATCATGATAAAGAGGATTAGGGATGTTAAAAGTCCGGTCCCAGTCCAGTCCTTAAAAGGTCTGGTCCTGAACTAGTTAGGAACTAGTCCATACCCTGGTACTAAACTGGTCCAACACTGGCCTAACCCTAGCAGTTTATTATGCATACATATAATAATAATTTGGTAATACAGTAAGTAATACCAGATACTAAACGGTTATGTATTTATTATATAATATGAAAAAAAAATGCATACAGTATTTATTTATAACTATATAACTAAATTTTATTTTCTATTTTATTTTTTATCATTCCTGAATTATACCAAGTTTTAAAGCAAAGACTTGTACGTGCCTTTTCATCATCTAATTAGTTCCTTACCACACTTAATGTTTGGCAACCGAAAAGATCTCTTCACTTGGAACACTGGTTGCTTGTGCAACCAGGTAATCGCGAGCCATATTGACTAAAGGTAACCACTGTAAATTTACAGATTTTGCTTTCCAATATGCAAGAGTATCAACATTTTCATCAGGTATACTCAAATAGTCTTTTAATACATTACAATTTAATGATATATCATTGTAGGTTCGTTTTAGTTGGGTTCAAAAATAGTTGTAAGCTGAAATCAACTGATTAGATTCTAAAATTTGTTTATTTGAATTTTAACAGGAGGTGCATACATTTGGTAGGCCTTATTAATTATTTGACGAGCTTTATCCCGTTCCAAACTAGAACTATAGGTGGATAATTTAGATGAAGGATCAAGCAATACTTCTTCTGGGAAGGCTGATTTTAATTCGTCCCAATACTTATCAAGTTTTTCAAGCATTTTTTTTGCAATATGTGATTTTATTGGATACATTGCATTTTTAGCTTCAGTTGGGTGATTTATTATTACAAAAAAACCATACGAACATCTCCAATCGTTGGATGACTTGACGAGAAAAGTAATTTTGTAGCCTCATAGATAGGTTCTAGGAGTGTTATCACGGTTTTAATATTATTCCAGTCTTGATCGGTCATATATAAATGTTTAAGCTGAGGTATTGAGACTACTAATATATCTGTCATTTCTCTAATTTTACATAGTTTATTTATCATTAAATATAGCAAATTCCATCCGGTTTTGCAGTTGAGTTCAGGGATTAAAAATGGTTTGTTTTTCATTAAGAAAATTTTTTTAACTCTTCTAAATATGGTTGAGAGCGACGAATCGTACTAGCAAAATCTCGTGCCTTCTTAGTTGATTCATTTACTTCGGAAAGACCATTCACGATGGTGAGGTTTAGTATCTGAGCTGCACACCACAATCGGCAGAAAGTAGTATTTTTATAATGAAATTCCAACATGCTAGCAAGCTGTTGACTACAAACATCCATATTACCAGCATTGTTAGCAGTTACTGATAATAATTTTTTCCTAATTTAAAATCTTCAATTATTTCAAATATTGTATTAGCCAGGAACCTTCCCATGTGTCATTCATAAAGGGGAATGAAGTCAAATAATATTCGTCTTAATTGCCATTCATCATCGATCCAATGCAAAGTAATTGATAGGAAGGCTTGGTTCGTATATGATGACTATGAATCGGTTGTAATTGAAACTTTATGGGCAAAGTTTCTAAAAAAACTACGTATTTGTGATCATTCTTGTTCATATAACTGCCCAATGTATATCAAAATTGATTGTCTTGAAGGTAATTTATAACGGGGGTTGAGTTCAAAGATGAATATCTGAAAATCCTCATCCTCAACAATTGGTTGCAGATAATCTATCAGATCAAAAGTTTGTTCAATTTTTTTACCTTTTCTTCATCACGAACACCATAATATTCGACGGCTCGCAGGTATAATGGTCGTTGATGAAGCTGGTATATTTCTTTATAATTGCTTTCAAAATGTCTTTTAATCGTACTAATCCCGGTTCTAATTCCATAAAGGGTTTTTTTATTTTTATTTTTGCATAGGACACAAATAATAGATAGTTTATCTGGGGCCTCATTAAAATAGCTCCAAAGAGGGTGTGCATTTTTTTTGTGCCGTTTTGAAAATTGTTCTTCTGATTCTTAAGTATTTGTTTCATCATCAGGACTAATTTGTTCGTCTAAAAAATCCTTATCTGGAAAAGAAGTCATGTCGTGGGTAAGTATAGCCTTGCAAGTGTTAAAGTTTTTAATATATGAAAATTAGAATTTGTGTGAAAACAACTCATTTATATTAACGATGAAATCATGTTTGAATTAACATAGAGTTCCCAACAAAAGAAATAATCGACAAAAGGAATTGTTAACAAAAGAAAAGGAATTGTCAACAAATAAAATCGTCAACAAAAGCAATTGTCAAAGGAGAAAGAAAAGTTAAGGCTTGAAAATATTAGGTTTGATATAATTGTACTGTGTTTTTATTAAAGATTATTAAATAAAATACAAGTTAATAAAGAACAAGTTTTTTAAATTGAGTGAAGAAATTTAGACTAGTATAGTCTGTACAAATGCCGTATGTTCATCCATAAAGTTAAGGCTTGAAAATATTTGGTTTAATATAATTGTACTATCCTTTTATTAAAGATTATTAAATAAAGTACCTTTAGAGATTTGTTTGTTATTATTTAGAGTTACAAGTTAGGAGAGAACAATTGTCATTAAATTGAGCGAAAAAATTATAGTCTGTACAAATTCCGTATCCCAATTTCATAATAATAGTGATAGTTGGCATTATTAGTTTGCCAGTAGCTTTTTTTGTTCATCCCAAACATTTTTAAGCAGGGAAGTTTCAGACTATCAACTTTATAGAAAGATGTAGCGATAGGAAGAAACTAGAATAAAAATCACTTTTATTAATTTTGATTTAACATTCGCCAATCGGAGTACTTAACAGCATTTTCGATTGGTGAACTTTAAAGCAGAGAGAGTAATTTGAAGGAGATCAATTTAAATCAACCATTAAAAACATCATTCATAATCCATATTTTATTGAAAACTAAAGCTAAAGCTACCGACAATTGCAAGACATTTATAAAATTTATTTGAAATTTCAAATTGACTATCAATTAAAATTATCATGAAACTTTTATGATCGTAGATTTTTTTCTTGTTATTTTTTTGTACATTTACATAATAATAAGCACAACAATAAATCATGATTATAATTGTGATATTGGTCATGCAATGATTAATATTATGAAATTTGTTCTGTCAGAACAAATTTCATGATATTAATCGTTGCATGACCAATATCATAGATGTATCGTTCATTTTTTGAAGTCATTAATTTAAAAATATCACCTGATACCTAAAACGAAAAACAATACTGCTATTTAAAAGTGTCGTTCTTGATTCAAATTAATTAAATTTTATTTCATGTATCAAAAATGACACTCAACTTATACCATGTGATTGTTTGAACTAGTTTTGGACCAGTTCTGAACAGTCTCTAAAAAGTCTAGTCCAGGACCCGTCCGAACTAGTTCATTGTGGACTACTTAACATCTCTAAAGAGGATGCTAGCTGTTTAGTTTTGTTGACTATCCTTCATTATTTGTTCATGTTTTAGACCACTTATTCCATAATACTAAGTTTATAAAATTTTTTGATATTAAATTTGAGATAATGTCAACTTCTTCAATATCATCATTGATCTTTTTAAAGTTTGGATCTATAGTATACTACTTGCAAAAAATTAAATATAGTGAATTGTCTAAAAAAAGATTTGAAAGTTTATTTGCAGTTGTTGGAAAATGATAATCTTTACTACTATAAAATAAATAAGTACAAATAAAGTATTATATTGTCGAAGAAGATCTAGTTCAAGATTTTTGTAATTAGTATATAGTACCATATTTTTGTATATTCTGTGCACCATTTCTTTGACTCTAACAAATGTATTAACAAAAGTTGCAAAAGTGCAAGCATACTTTGGCAGATAAATGCTTATATAGACATTAGGTAAATTTTCAAATTCATCTAGAAAAATTTTTAATAAGTTGATTTGTTTTTTTTCAAATAAACAGTCAAACTCTTTATAAGTATTATTTGTCATTGTTGTTGAGAAAGCTAATTTGAGTAGCTTTGCTTCAATGACCCAAAGCTTTATTAGTTTAATAATAGCATGATTATTACGAGTAAGCTGATATATATTTTTTAAATGTTTAATTATTTCAGTTTTTAAATATGAAGATGATAAAAAGTGCTTATCTTATAATTAAAAAAATATAAAATCGTTTGATTATTATTTTTTTAATTTACTGATAAAAATTTGATTATAGTAAAATTACTAATATACCTTACATAAATTTGATTAATTAGTTGATTTACCACCCCAATATCAGATGCTGATTTCCAAGTAATGCATATCACTTGTCGATTGATTATCTGACGTGCATAAGTTGTAATCTGATACAGACAGATCTTTAATTTCAAAATCTAATCTTGTATTAAAAAAAGAATTAATATCATATACTTAATTTTTTGTAGCATTGCTATCGTGAATCGCTGCTGATGTTGTCACATTTGAAGCAGTTGTTATTGTTGTTAAAGTCATCGCCTTTGAAGATATCATTGAAGTTGTCGCTTTTGAGTTTTATAGTAGGTCTTTTGTCTTTCATAGTGGATTCTTTTGTGGGTCTTTGTTGTTTAATAGTGAATCTTTTAGCTATTTAAAGGTAGATCTTTTTGTCATTTCATGATATATTTCTTTGTTGTTTCAAGTAATTTTTCATTATTCATAGTACTGTTTTATGGTGAGCCCTTCATCTCATAATGAATTTTTTCATCATTATATAGTGGATCTTTCATTTAAAACTGATTTATAAAACCCTGGCATTGCCCATAAAAAATAAATTAGTTTATTTTTGCTGGCATATATGTAACTTCAGATACTGATCTCTGAATAAATTATGAATGTTAATTCAATGAAAATAGCAATTGTTTTCTTTTTTTTTTTTAGAGGGAGCACTAGATTTTTATCTTTTTGAGCATGAGGTTTTGTCATTTTTAAGATTAAGGTTTTATCTTTCATCAGAGGAATTTGGGGCTTCGATTTTCACTCACAGTAAGTTTTTTGTCCTTAATATTAGGCTCTCTAGTTACCCATAGTAGGTTTTTCATGGGTCTACATGGATCTTTTATCGTTTTTGTTTGTTATTTAATGATATCGTTTAATAGTGGTGTTTTTTCTGTTTAATAGTGAGTTTCTTTGTTGGATCTTTCATATCATTTAGTGGTAGATTTTTTCATCAGTTTATAGCTGGTTTCTTTATTGTTTCACAGTGGCTTTTGAAAATAACAATTGTTTTTTTTTTAGAGAAAACACTAGGGTCTTATTTTTTTGAGTGTGAGTTTTCGTCATTTTTAAGGTTAAGGTTTTATCTTTTGCCAGAGGAATTTGGAGCTTTGACTTTTACTCACAGTAAGTTCTTTGTCCTTAATAGTAGGCTCTCTAGTTGCCCACAGTAGGCTTTTCGTGGTTACATATAGATTTTTTGTCATTTTGTGTTTGTCATTTAATAATGTTGTTTAATAGTAGGGTTTTTTTCTGTTTAATGGAGAGTTTCTTTGTTGGATCTTTCGTATTGTTTAGTGATGAGTTTTTTCACTGTTTTACAGCTAGTTTCTTTATTGTTTTTTTTTTTTTTTTTTAATTCTTTGACAGTTTTGCCAGTGTTCAATTTATTTAAGACTATATTTTGGTGAGAGTTGAACTCTCTCAAACAATACATATCATTCATAACCTAAACAGAGAGTCCTGTAATTATGAGCCTGATATTTCCTACACAGGTTGAAAGATAAAAATCAGACACAAATCAGGTACCTAATTTGTGCCTGATTTTTTATTTTTCGACCTGTGCTAGCTGCGATTAACGTGCCCACATGCGACTTGTCACACTAACCTGTATACAAGTTAGATAAACTTTGTCAGCCCATCAAAGCTTTTTCCTTTATATTCTCTTTCTTTACTGAGAGCAAAAGAAAGTGATGATCTTATATCTAATACAAAACCACCAATAATACCAAAAAGACAAAACAAAAAACTAACTAAAAAAAACAAATAAAACAAAGGGAGAATTTTAAAGAAAAAAATAAAAGGGGTACAATAAAATGTAAAAAAAGAAAAACAAAGAGAAAAGCCTGAGAGTCAACAAAGGGGAAACTACCTCTATCAAGAAATAGTACAAATAGAATAAAAGAAAAAAGAAAAATACACTGTTATAACCCATGCCAGGTTTAAAAAAAAATTTATAAAAACTGCAATATTTGTATATCTCAACTACAAAATCCAACAAATTATTATTTAACTACTGACCACCTCTGGATGCCTCTTATACCAGAGACCCAATACTAGTTATATGAAGATCCTATATTCATAGACTATGTCACATATCATATCCACTGATAAACAAGGCACGTGGTTGCATTACTGGATACATCCAAATTTGGGAGGCAAACTATGCCAATCTTTTGGGGGAGATAAGCCAAATCACCCACTTTTTGTCAAAAATTTTGGAGAAGACTGGCCAAGCGAAAAACACCTAGGGAGAGACCACTTGTACCCAAAGAAAGTAGTTACATCCATGTAAAGACTCAACAACTCCTAAACTTCTTCTAGAAAAGGGGTGGGGCACCTATAACTCTTTTCGGTAAGTGATAAACTCTGGGCTTGTCAGCAAGTAGCATATGAAAACTACTTCTAAATGACAAGTGCCATACAAGCAGTGAGTGATAAACTCTGAAGAAGTTAGCAGGTAGCATATGAGAACTACCTCTAAATAGCAACTGCTAACTTATAGCCAAGTGTGCCCTCCATTTTTTACTAAATGCTATTGTGTTTTTTACAAAAAATGTGGTTAGATTTTTGGTACAGATGATTGTCTAAAAGAGTTTAATTATCTTTATTGTTTCATGGTGGCTTTTAAGGTTAGAATAATATTAGTTTAATATTGCAGTGTTTGTTATATAATTCAATCAAATTTAGTTTAAAAAAATAAAATAAATCTGTAGTGTTCATTGTGCGATATCTAGTTATAAAAATTTTAAATATGTAATCTCAATGGTGTGCCAGTTTACAATTGATGCATCTCAAATTACAACTCATACATGTCAGATGACCAATCAATAGGTGATATGCATCACCTAGAAATTAGTATCTGACATGCATCAGTTTAGATCCAATGTGAGAATCGATCTGAGGCACAACATATATATAAAACTAATATAGAAGATTAATTTTTAAAATATTATTTATATATCATGTGTATATAACATATGTGATTTAAAAATTTTTCTATAGTAAAAAATTGCATCACACCAGGTCTCCAGCATAGCACTTTACGGTAGTTGTAAAGACAAAAATACTTATATCTTGCAATCTACTAAACCAATTTTAACATTTTAACCACTATATTGATCACAAGACACTCTTTTACAACTTTACTTAAAAGTTAAAAAAAGGTTAGCTTAGTAAAAAAAATTGCTTTCTTTAGAAAACTATTGATTCCAAAGACAATACTATGTTTTGTAGACAGACAGAAAATGCAAGTTACTTTTTTGATAGTTTAATAATTGATGTATCAAGAAAGTAACTTTTGTATCATCATGCATAGAAATTAAAGGTCTTTTACTTTATTCTAGACAATAATATAAAGAATTTTAAAAAAAATTTCAAACCTGAAGCAATAAAAGGGTCTTAAAAGCTAATTTAAATATTTAAACCTAAGAATTAGAAAAAAATTAGAAACTAGAACCCAAGTAACACTGGGTTCTAAAAGCTAGTTTTATAATTATAATGTCAACACATTTAACATTATTAAACTTTCTTTGATACTTGACCAATATGTTTGGTATGTTTAGTTTAGGGAAAGGCTGTTATTGTTGACCAATAAATCTTGATAAGAAACATAAAAAAGGCTTCAAAATATAAAATAAACCTTTATAGTAAACATATCTAATACAGTTTACTCTTTCTATACCAAACCCTCGGTTCTGGCCAAAAAAAAGTTAATTATAAAGAATTACTAAGTTTTCTTAATAGCCATAGCTCTTGTTATACCGAACTAATACTAAAATTTAGAAAATTTGGGTTTGTTATATCCAGAGTTCATTATAAAAAGGGTTAAAAAGCTAGATATAATTAAAATTTGTGGTCCCAGTAATCATTACATCACATGATAAAATATTTCGGCCTAAATTAGGACTAGTGTTAGGATTAATAGTTAGAGTTAGATGATAGTTAGTTTAGGCCGATTTTGTTAGTGCTAGCAGTGTTGACCTTGGACATATGTCCACACATTTTTAATACCATTGGACTGGACATGGACATTGGACATATACTTGGACATGGTCCAGGTCCAGTATGTCTAATCGCTTATTCAGGTAAAAAAATTTTTTTTAAAAAAAATAAATATTACTAAAAATCTATGTTATTAATTAAACTCTGGTGCTTCCGCTAAAAAATTGATGAAAATCTATGTTTTTAGCAAAGCTAAGCTGTTAATAAAAATAAATCCTGTAAATTTGTATATTGCACCACTTTAGAAAATTGATAGTCAATAATTCATGATTCTTATTAACTTCACTTTTTATTGGAATCTGACCAATTCAATGACACAATATTTCACCGACAATTATTCACTAACAAATATGTTTTACTGACAGTCTATTTCACCAAAGCTCATTTCATAGACAAAGTAGCTCTAGTAATTATCATTAGGTTCATATTAGAATTAAAATTAATGTAATTTATAAAAAACACTTGCTAGTGAAATAAGCCTCAGTGAAATAGACTTTCAGTAAAATAAACTTGTGGATGAATAATTGTTGGTGAAATAATCTGAATCTCTTTTTATTAAGTTCTTATTTAATTGGCAAATACAACAATGATCAAAAATGTATGCACCTCTTATTAATTTATTATCTATCACAGGTCGAACTTCAAAATTCAATAAGATTTCTGAAATATTAGTGGAGTATGAACTATTTATAAAGCTAGTAACTATCCGATATTTGGCGCGCATTGCTACCTAACGAATAGACATTACATCCAATAGGCATATTAATGATTTGATGCTTCTATTAACAAAATATAAAAATATCTGATATTTTAAGATATAAGTATCAGATATCTAATAGGCCTATCGGATGCAATATCTATTTGATAGGTTGCAATACACGCAAAATATCTGGTCATTATCAGTCTATAAGCGCCCGATATTCCACTGATATCTTTCTGAAATTTTAAAAAATTTATCTTTAAAAAGTTTAGCATTTAAAAAAATGACATTCTTTTGGCACAGTATGTGCAAAAATGTCGAAATACATTAATTTCATTAATCAATTGCAGTCACATGAAAATTGAAACATTTCACGTGATTGTCGGGTATAAGCTTCCGGCACCATAATTTTTGAGATTTTGTTGTAGAACCACATATCTCACTATCAGTTATAATTGTTAAATGAAACCCTTTTCGCATGATAATGAAAGACGAAGCCTAAACCCACAAAAGATGAAACCTCTGACGAAGTCGAAACTGCAAATTCTTCTGATGAAAGACGAAAGAACCTTAAACTTAAAATAACGAAACCTTATGCTCAAAAAGATGAGACCCTAGTGCTCCCTCAAAAAAAAAAAATTTTGTTATTTTCATTGAATTAACATTCATAATTTATTCAGAGATCAGTCAGTATCCGAAGTTACATATATGCTAGCAAAAATAAACTAGTTCATTTTTTCTGGACAACGTCAGGGTTGTTATAGACCAGTTGAAAACCTTGTCAAAAAGCCATAGTACTTACTCATGGAATAACAAAAAAAATGAAGTAAAAGCATACTGGTACAAAATAAATTTGTAAGATCACAAAAGTAAGCACCAAGCGACTTTTCACTAGAACTGATATGTAGTGTACTAGTATAATATATCCATTTAAACAATTCAAATGCCTATTATACAATAAAATTTTTTGTAATTTTTTATTAGTTTGTTTTTTTATACACATAATCAATGATTTTCCGCAACATTTATTGGTATATTCGTCTTTGTTACTCTTTACCTTTCATCAGTTTCGTCATTTCATTATTTAAGATTTTAATTGACGAAGGACAAAACTAGGTTTCGCATTACATTGGCATAAACTTCGAAGTTTCGTCTAACAACTATACCATCAGTACTTGTTCATATGAAATTAAAATATCACCAATTTTTTTATTATTCTTAATTTTTTTAAAAAAATAATATATAAAATCATTTAACAACCGTTAATCATAGTATGTAATATTATGTAATATTATTATTGGACCATGTCCAATGTCCAATACCTTCTGGTCCAATAGATTGGACTGGATTGGACAAGGGTGGTCCAATGTCCAGGTCCAATGTCCAGGCCCAACACTGAGTGCTAGTAAACAAATGACTTAATTGCATGAATTCACGTGATGTGATAATTACTAGGTTCATCTTCTTGAAGAGTCACAAAATTTTTACAGGAATTATGAAATAGCTTTTAAAAAAGTCTTAATTAGTTTAGATAAATGCAACAACTTTATCATACATTAGTAAGTAAATTTATTAATTATCAATAATTAGAACTTAAAATATAATCTATTTGTTATCCATTCCTGGTTTTAGCGCAACTACGTTGCGCAGCTACCTTATATTTTAACATGTTTGTTATTTGTTATTGCGGTGGCACATGAATTTACGTATCATTACCCGTACCAAATCCCGTGCCAATTCGACTAGTAAACTGCTGCAAAACCCGTACCATTTACGGTCCAATTGGCATGGGCATACGGTCCCACACGAACCACCGAATCCGTACCAACTCGGACCATACCCGTACAAATCCGGATCTTGACCCATGCCACAGAGGCCCGTGCCTATCCGAAACCATCCCGTATCGATCCAACCCATTTTTTTTATATAAATATGTTGAATGATATTAAGTGATCCGGCTTATAAAATCCCGCCATAACGTGACTTTCAAGGCAAAAACCCATGTTTTTTATGTGTTTGTAATGATTAAAGATTGTTAAAAAAGCCAATATATTGTATATACAAAAATGTTTAAATTTAACCTGTAATTTAAGTAGTCAAATCATGAATTTATTATGTTCAAAGAATTTTATTGCATATATGAGTGTCGCCAAAAGAAAACCCGACAATTTAAATATAGTCTATACAGTATTTAAATTGTCGGGTATTCTTTTGGTGACATTCATATGGTATAAAATATGAAAGTAAAAAAAAAATTGTTAATTTAAACGAAGATTAACTAGTTGTGATATAAGATATAAGTGTTAGTTTATATGTAATATTTTCCTTTTCTTACACCATAAACTTAACTGTTGTTAATATTCTTATTAATTAAGGATTCTATTTACCTTCATTGATAATTTGTAAAACATTTATAACTTACTAACTATAAAATCAAAAATTACCAAGTAAAACGTTAAGTTATAAATAAAAATCAAATTTATTTAGACAAAAAAAAAATTCAACCTACGTTTTGCACCGCTAATAGTAGTATTAAGAACTTTAAGCACGCCTTTTTTCATGTTGTAAACTAGACCATATACGACAACTTTATTTTTTTGAACAACATTCATAGCAGAAATATTGGAAACCTGTTTTGCTCAACCAATAATTTCTTCTCATCTTTTTCGAGTTTATCGAATTGACTACTATGATATAAATAAACTTCCTTTATACAGAGAACCCTCCCTAAATGCACGCTCTTGGGACTGAACTTTAGTGACGTGCACTTAGAGAACAATAAGAAAAAGTGCATTTAGGGAGGTCATCTATATATTTGGGCCCAAATTTAAGCATGCATTTAGAGAGGGTGTGCACTTAGGGAGGGTGCACTTAAGGAGGGTTCTCTGTAGACCCATATCATAACTTTCATTACCCATGACCCAATATAGTCAGAATTGATAATTAAAGGGTGAATATAGATTTTTAGCGGCTAATATTTTTGAATCTAGGCCCAATTTTAGCACCATCTGTGACATCAATTGAATGAAATCCATTTTATGTCAGTAGTCTTTAATAAAAATCAGACCTAGTATAAATTCAGGTTTTAGTTACCTACCAATTTACAAATCACTATAGGTTGATCTGATTTGTTTGATTGAAATCAGTTTCTTGAGAGATAACATTAAATAAAATTTTATTTTAAAAATGTTTTATAAATGTATCAGTAATAAAAATCCACATATATGAAGAGTTTGAATCTGGATTTATTTATGCTATAAATTAAAAAATGTCGAAATTTGCATTAAATCCAGACTTAAGCTTTACATATACTTTCATGAAAATAAACCATAATGCCGGTAATGATCGTAAACTACTGTATAAGGCTATACAAAACAATAAACTGGTTTCTCGGATCAAATTCTGCAAAATTTTGATTATATTTATTATCCGAGTGAGATGTCTAAAATTAAAAGTCGGGATAGCCAGATTATTTAATTATTATGTAAAGCTGCCGGTCCTCTGCATGAAACTAATGATATAAGAGAAATTCTTTGAATAAAGAAGCATCACTCTTGGTGTTATCATTTTTTAAAAATTTACTAAATCAAAAATTATTTGACATTAGATTTTTGCTCTTATATTCCTATTCTGTCCTTGACCTTCTTTAAGACTTTGTTTCAAAGTTTGAATTACATGCATTGATGCACCATAACTTGATTGCCATCCTGGAATCGAATATAAAATTCAATAATCTTTAAAATATAGGATAGCAAATATTTAATTGATTGCCGTACCGTATCCTCCATGGCCATAATTATGACAGAGTAAAATTTTTTTTCCTGTTTTTTCAGATACTAAAATCAAAAATACATATTAAACTTCCTTATATAATAAAATGGGACTAGTAGATTTCGTTGATAGCAATTTAGCAAACAATTAAGATTAGCAAACTTTAAATTGAGCTAAATTATCGACGAAATGGATTTATTCCCACGAAATAGGTTAACATCAAATATATGAAGGGAAGCTCACATATCCATTCTGTCTCGATTCTGATTCCATTTTTTCGAACAGGTCGCAAACAAACGCCATGTCTTTTAATTTTAAGCTTGGTCTCACCTTTAGGTAATAGATCTGGACGCGTAGAAAGGCATCGTGCGATAATCGCATCAGCAATCTTTGCATCGGGAATTGTCGAACTAGAATGGGAAATATTAAATTAATATGAGGTCAAACCCTAAAATCTATAGATTGTTTAATCTTTGTCATTCTTACTAGTTGTGTAAATCCTATTACTCGTTAATTATTAGCAAAAATTATTACTGTTTCATGTAATGTAATGATCAGTCATCGAGAATTCTTACATAAGTTCCGCCAATTATCACTTCACCATTATCCCGTGGTATTACATAATTAAATGTTTCACCCTTTCCTGGTATAATTTGAAAGAATTATTGTTGCAAAATTTATGATTTTAATAAATCAATAAATTTTAATAAGTTTTCAACAACAATACATACTGTTTATACTATTGACTCCAAATCGTATAAATGTCCAATTTACGTGACCAATAGGCAATTGTGCCAATACTGTTTGCCCACTTGCTGGATAAACGTCTTGATCTTGAACACCTCCTAAGGTCTTCGAACCAAGCCCAGAACAATTTATTACAATGTCAGTGTAATCAAAAATTGCTTCTTGAATATGAGACAAAGTAATACGTTTAGTAGTTCCGCCCATTGTATAGAAACGATTCAAAAGATAGGAAAGATATTTTGGTGGATTAATTGTAACTTTAAATTCAAGTGATTAAAATACAATTAAATTATTAATCATGGCTAAAAATAAATTTTCTAGAATATAATTTAATTATTGTATACCAGTCTTATATTTAATACCAAATTCAACACCAGTTGGCAGTTCATTTTTCGTTAAATGCCTGTACTGTTTGTTCAAATAAAAACTCAACCATCGCTAAAACATTATCACGTAATCATAAATATTAATATATATATATATATTGCCTCTGGACATAAATCCTTAAACCATGGATCATTCCATTCCAATGGGAAATATTCATCCCAATAGTCAAACCCGTCTACAATCATTATTCCAGTTTCGGATGGTCTGGTATGGGCCAAATCCCAAAAGTGAATAAAAGTTTCCTTATCAAAACCTTTCGAAGGAATTGATAAATTAATAAATTTAACTGAAATATGCTTTAAATACTTGACACCAGTACCTTGTTGCCGGATGTCATCTAACACTGCCTGACTTCTCCAATTCGCGCCAGCCCTGTAACATATTTATTCAAGCATCATGAAAGAACAGCATATTTAAGAGTGATTTTAATTTACAAACCATGGACTTGTATATCCATCTTTTAATTCGCCCGGAAAATCTCTGGATACAATTGTTACGTTATACTCTTCTTGAAGAAGAACAGCAGTAGTCAGCCCTGAAATTCCGGCTCCAATGACGGTTGCTTGTTTCTTTGGATTCAAAGATTGCATTTTTTTTTTTTTCTAATCAGATGGAACAGTGACGGTAAAATGATCTAAATATTAATTGATGATCAAAACTGGCTGGTTTGCAATTTACATTAAAATTTTGGCTTAGCTTGTTTTGGTAAAGTTAAACATTTATATTTAGAAATACAAGCAGATGTTACAATCTTTCGATTGTCACGGGATCTTTTAATTTAATTGCATTTCTTTAAGCCATACAAGATAATTTTTAATTTTGTTTGCAAAAATATGTATAAAAAAAAACAAAAATTTTTTTTTTTATAGATACTGTATTTAAAAAGACCCATCCGAATAACAAAATTAGTCAAAATTTTATTTACTAAGTTCTAAAATATTTTTATCTCGTATGCATCTTGATAGTTTGTTAAGACTACGTGTTTTTCGTAGTGTTTAACTGTTGCTGTATATGATACATGTAGATGAGACGATAGGACGATAAGCGGAATAAGTGGTGGGAAAGAAGAAGAATAGATTTCTTGTATGAAAGTTATATAAATCAGGAGTATCGTAAACACAATGCATTTTCCATCCGAAAACTGCTTCATATGGTGTGCGGTCATGTACTGGGTTATACTGTATGATATTACAAACACATCGATTATATTGCCCAGTCTTTTTTTTTTTTCTTGTGGCTGCATGATAGTTTCTCTTTCATTTTATTATACAGTATTCTCTAGATTTCGAACCAAGATGATCATTTATCGCAATAAATAAATAAAATTTTGATTAATGATGTTATCCGGTACAGTATATTATCCTTTTTAATATTTTGTTATTTCATTTGTTATTTAATTAAAATTCTCAGAATACGCCATTCTAAAGTTCTTAACATTCTGTATTCAAATTAGAGTGTCCAGATATTTCTAGCATCTAAAATAGCACCAGAGATATCACGAAAACAACCAAACTAAATTCGATAAAACTTGTCTTATTTTTATTCTATAAACATATAGAATTAAAGTAAACAATTCCGGTTGAATTTGATTATGTGGTTGTCATAATATCACTAGTGCTATTTTAGATGCTAGAAATAGCTGGACACTCTGATTCAAATCTTTTTATGTACTAATGTCATCTTAATTGGTCAAGATTTTTCAACTATACCTTTTTTCTTATTGAATATTCTTAAATTTTACTATTAGGGGATTTCAAAGTTAACGAATAAGTGGGCATTTTGAAATTAAATGAGAGTTTGAAAAATCTTATCTGTTTATGAAATCGGAAAATTTTTATAATACTTCATAAAGTAAAACTTTCGTTCAAATTGAAGATAAGACCAGATTGCCGGTTCACTTGTTTCAAAATAAATACGTCATCAATTTCAATTAAAATTAGATTTCCGCGTTTAATTCGATTGCATCATATTATTTGAATCAAGTATTCTAAATTCAAGCTAACTTCGAATTCCTCATTGTTGAATTGACTGATATTAAGCAACAAGCAATATGTCATCCGTGCTGATAATTAATGTACTCAAAATCAATTTATGCTTCAAAATAGTGCCCATAAATATTTTTCATAAATTGTGGTATAGTGTTTAATATATTCAAATGTTCGCAACAAGTATTTTTTGGAGGAATTTACAAATAAAAGCCCGGAAAGTGAAAATAATTACAAATACGGGCCCAAATTAAAAATAATTACATATAAGGGCCTAATTTTTAAAAAA